GGAACGTCTTCCTTGGGCGTGAAGGGCAGAGCAGGGGGCAGAGGTGCCTTGATGCCCCCCTCTCACTGTTCCTGAAAGAATCTGCAGATCCGTGTTGAGTTTTTATTACTGGATGACTCCTGAGAGAAGGAAAGGAGACGGTACAATTCGCCGTCTGAATTTGTTGTGCCCAGCATCCAAGAGAGTATCTGATCCGATGTTTCGGGAGGGAAACTCAATGTTGTGTTCTGTAAAAAGAAATGCAAGGAAAGGGGCAGTTCCTAACTTTTGGGCAGCAGGATTTGAGAGCAGACAGCTAGAACTGGTGATGTTTTCCTTATACCGCAAATAAGCTTCAGCTATTGCAGTCACGCTACCAGAAAACCAGGTCGGTTCCATTAGAGAAAGGGCTGCCGCGCAGGCGATGGAGGCAGAGAGCGCGTAAGGTCAGTACGTAACGGCAGCAGCGGGACCAGGACGCGGGGCTGGGGGCTTTCCCCGGCCGCCTGTCCCCTCAGCGGGTCGTCTGTGATCTGGAACGAGCTGTCGTGCTGGCTCCTCGTCGTCTGAAACAAAAGACGGGGACGCGCGCGTTAGCAGGACGCCCGGCTGAGGACGGGGTGCCTCCTTGCACGCGGCTGCAGCAGTTCCCGTGTGACAGCCCAGCACGAGCCGTATGGCAAACTCCTGACAGCAGGGCCAAGCTTCAGCTGATGAGGACAATAAACATGCTTCTAGGACGTCCGTGTGCTATGGCTAATGGAGGTCTTTGCTCTGACCTCAATCAGAAGTGAAGCTGCTTTTTTTTTTTCTTTTTCTTTTTTCAGTTACAAATGCAACACACACATGAGAGCTCTGGGGACAGATGTAGTAAGGCTGGTTTAACTGGGGCCTGAAAAGGCGTGAGGCCAGGCAGTTGTGATCCCAGACACGGGGACTCCTCGAGCTGGTCTGTACTGAGGTTCCTGGCGAACGTGCTCCATCTGAAGCACTGAAATGAGGATGAAGCCTCCCCCCGCCCCCTTATTCTTGCTCAGTGCTTGGACTTGATGCAAAACCCAGGCCCCAGGATGTCACCCATCGTTTCTGCGGGTTGAAAGGGACCAAGCAGCCCCGCGGGTCTCCCCGTCTCTCAACCCAAAGCACCGAGACGGCTGTGCAACGGATCTGGCGTGCAGCGAGACTCAGAGCCCTGCACCGTTAGGGGCTCTGAATGACAAAGCCTTTATTAAACTTGAAGCCTGTTCCAGGGAGAAAAGGCCAGGCCGGGGCTCAGAGCCAGAGATCTGCTCCCCTGGGAAAAATCTGAACTGTTGACGGCAGCGCGGGGAGCCCAAGTGTCTGCTGCCTGGCTGCAAAGCGGGGACTGCCGCGTTGCTGGCCTTTGAGGGGTGCGGAGAGAAGGACCTTTGGGACTGGGACCTGACTGCGGTACAAACCCTCTTGAGGTAGGAGGCAGACGGGACTATTCCACTTGCGGTGCTTCAGAGGCAGGCAAAAAAACCCACCCTAACTCGGTGCCTGCTACGGGATAAACGTGGTCAGGATGCAAAGGGCACGAATAGCCTGCCTGCTCCCCTCGGAGGCTGGCAGGGGCCGCGGGGTCCCGGAGCCGTGCCCCGCCAGGCCGCCAGCCTGGGGAGCGGAGCAGACGTGCGGGCTGCCAGCCGTCCCCTCCCGGGGCGGGGG